GAACCTGTATGATGTACAGGCGGACTACTTAAATTAGACACCAAAAGTGTACGTGTGGCTAGTATGTACTTTCTAATGTAGGGGGTCTCTAGAGAACCCTTCGCTATATATACCTGAATAAAAATCCTAGCTCCTAAGAGGGTAGACGTTAAAAAAAAAATAATAATAATAATAATAATAATAAATTTTCTTGCATATATTTATGAGTTTATAAGTTTCTTTCTATAAAGTTTTTTATTTTCAAATAATATAAATTATATCTATAATAGTTATGGTGTTAATAAGTTTTTGGCTAAATTTAGGGTTAGGGTGCAACTTTAGAGTAATATATTAGTGGCTTTTTAGATACATGACAGTATTTTTTAGATTAACTCTAGTTAAATTTTACAGTTTTCAATCTTTTTATCTTATTTCTAGTAACTTATATTTCACATATAAATGGTTTATTTTTTAACTATATAATACTCTTTGTGTATTTTTTCTCTATCTAATTGATTATTAATTAGCTTTCTAACACTAAAGAGCATACACCTAAGGTGTGTGTGATGCAGTAGCAGAGCAAAGCAGAGTATAGTTATCTTATTTGATTTCTATTTGGCTTTCTATTCTAAAGAAGCGTAGTGACACCAGATACAGAGCGTAGCGAAGTATAGAAAGCTTATTTGTTTACTATTTAGTTATTTTAAATAATATAATAGTATTAAGATACTTAAACTTTTTAGGTAGAGCTTTGCTCATGCTAAACATACATACTCGGTGTATTTTTTTTTCTGGCTACGCTCGAATGTTGATAAAATTTTGCTAAGAACAGAGCCTATAACTCGAAGAGTCGCCCCTATAAAGCCTGTTTTATAATAATAAATAGCTATTTAATACTAAAGAGCATGAACTTTTAAGTAAATATGATGCAGATGTGAAGCATAGTAGTATTCTATAGGATTTTTATTGATAAAAAAAATAGATAAGAGCAGAGCCCATGACTCAAAGAATCATCCTTATAGAGCCTGCTTCACAATAATTTTTAGGTAAGTCCTTTGAGTTATTGCTTCATAATACACAGATAGTAAATTTTTTTAGATACACGAAAGTGTTTTTTTATTACAGGTTTAGTTTTCGAGTATAGAACTGCATAACATAATACTCTTTAGTATGTTTTTTGTAATGTCCACAAGCAGAAGCTGTAGGCTTTCCACAATCATTACATAAAACATGTTTTTTTGTTTTCTAATATTCATAACATCCTTCAGGATACCAACACTCACAACCACAGACTTCTCCAGAGTTATATATATATTTACATATATATTTACCTCACTTTTTGATATACTTAACTGGCTTTTCGATATAATCAATAAACATTTCTATAAATAAATAATTATTTTTTATTTAAACGAAAAATCTGGTTATATTAATAAAAAACACAGAATACAAATATATATTACAATAGTAGATAAATGTCTAGATTGTGGATTCACTTCAAGAACAGGTAAAACTCGTGATTTGAATAAGCACATAGATTTAATACGATTTAGACCATATCAAGCTCTCTTACAACTAATACAAGCGCAAAATGCATCTCATGCAGAAAATGCTATACTAGAGCAAAATCAAGTATCAGTTCCAAAGGGCAATCTCATATCATTCGATAAAAACCCACCAATGCACCAGCCAATAGAGACAAGAGAGCTAGCAGTCAACCTGGAATAGGATCTAGTTCAAAACAAAATAGTATGAACTACTGAAATAAAACTATCTTGATTTATAAAAATATAGCAAATAGATTTGAATTTTATAATAGAAATAAAAAATAGTATGGAGTTAAAGAAGATTATGTAGATTATCTAATAAGTACTATTTTATTAAAACAGATTTAAACTATAAAAGAATTAACAAAGAATCAGAAGCTATAGCAGAAAAAACAAATAGATAAGTCAATATACGAAAATCAGAAAGTTATACATTAACAAGTTTAAAACTTTTTAGAAAAACTACTTTAGCACCAAAAAGAAGTGAAAAAATAGATAAAAAAGAAAATGCTTGGTTAAATTTAGCATCAACTGGTACTTTAGTATTTGCAGAGAAATATGAAGGAGAAGCTATTCAATATAATGTAAATTCGATGTATATATATGAAATATTAAAGAAAGAAACATCATGGCCAATTGCTACAGGTAGATTTCATATTATAGACATATCATTAGTAAAAAAATAAAATAAATTTTCATATGGAATTTTAAAGCAACAATAGAAGAAAATCCTCTGAAGAAAAGCTTGTAATGCACTAGATATTTACAATATAATCTACATAGAATTTATACACATTTTGATTTAGAGTGTGCCAAAAGAAATAGTTTAAAGTATATTTATTAGATAAATCACCAAATGTACTTATATATGAAAAAAATACCTGTGTTAGTAGAAGTGATATGTTCGGTAAATGGGAAAATATATTATACAACATTAAAAAAGAAGGTAGAACAGCTAGAAAAGTAAGTAAAGCATTATTAGTTTCATTATGGAGTATCCTATATGAGTAAATAAATAGACAAAATTATAGTATACACCTATGAATAAAACCATTCTTATTAGTATTAGCACAAAAAAAAAATCAAAAATCGTGAAACTACTAGGAGATCAAGTAAAATATATATACAGATGACTTTATTGTAGCTAGAATGGTAGAATTTAAAACAGAAATAGAAATGGGTAAGCTAAAATTCGAGAAAAAAGGAGTTTGTATAGTAAAAATTGTATATCAGTTACATAGAAACCATCATATCCAGAAATTCTAAATTTGATTACAAATAATTTATCAGATTTTAAGAAAATATAACAAGATAAAGAGCAGTTAATAGTAAAAAGAAAACTATCAAAAAAGTCTGATATAAATCTTCCAAATAAAATTATAATAGAAATATTTTACATTTATGAACACAAAATGATAGATTAGGATCCAAAAGATCTCTTGCTTTGTAGTGTAGTAATAATGAATTATTGTTTCTACAGTGCAGGACAGCAAAAAACATCCAATTTTTTTATACAAAGCACCAAATTTACAATTATTTAATCAATTTTGATTGGCTAATTTTATATAAGAAATTTTAATTGGTTAAAAAAATATATAAACTTTTTTTTTATATAGTAAACGCCAAATTTTTAATTTTTAATAATAAGTATTAATCAATAAAATTGCTAGCATGTGACTTGTACTAAATAAGATTGGTTAATTTCTTTGTGCCAAATTTCTGCTTTACTAATAAAATTACCAAACTTTGATCTCTTATAACTTTTGTAAAAAGTAAGATATTAAAAATCTGTCTTACAGATTTGTAGTTTAGATTATAAATAATAAATCTATAAGAGGAATTTTTAAAATAATTATTTGTTATAAAGTTATTAGACATTTAACAATTGCTAAAAAATTGGATATTTTTTGCTGTTCCACACTGTAGTTTTATATATTAACAAATGATAGAATGAATGCGCAATATATTTAATATGGAGAAGAATTATATTATATAGATATAATATTAGAAATTTTGTCAAATTAATAAAAAAGAAACTATTACTGAATGTGATAAAATATATAAAACAGATAGAATTCAAAAGAATAGATAATTATTTTAATATGAATAAATTTCTATTAGAAGATATTGTAAATATATGCCAGGATATAATAACTATATCATTTAAAGATTGTGGTTGAGGGTTTCTTAACAATAGTTTGCTAAATATGATATTAGATATATGCAAGAATCTAAAGCATATATTTATCTATGGAAGTGATTGAATAGCACCAAAAACTGTTTTAAGTATACCAGAAAAATATACAAGTATAAGAACTATAAAAATACAAAATTGCGAACAAATAACAGATAAAATAATAAATCAATTAGTGAGTAAGAGCAACCTATACCAGTAGACTGCTTTTTAGCAAATAAAATAAAAGTTGACTCACGAAGTAAAGATAATATTGCATCTCAAATTATAGAAGATATATTTGACAAAGACTAGTTTATAGTAATAGATAAGTAAGCTAAAAAACTTATTTAGAAGATAATAGTTAATAAGAAATGATAATTTTTTATTAAATAATAAAATACGTATTAAATAAAACTTATATTATATAAAACAAAATACAAAGTATAAACCAAGTATAACAGACAATAGTTCAAGTTTAATAAATGAGCAGGGCTCAGAGTTAATGATGCAGGAAGCTATTATATAGAAAATGATTGAATCAGCACAGATTAAAATAATAAAAGAAGCCTTTCGTCTTCGATATAGAAAAGATAATAAGCTTATTAGTGAATATACTAGTTATGTGAAAAATTTGCGTAATGCTAAAAACAAAGATGAGTATATAAAATATACTACTATAACTCTTTTTCTGAATTAAGAAGCATATAACAAAAGAATAATTAGATATAGAAAATAGTATCAAGATAAAAAGAAGCTATTTACCAATATAAAAGATTTATATAATCTTTATTATAAATTATTCAAAAAAGATAGACCTATGACTGAAACAGAAATTGAAGAAGCTGTTAAAGATGTACTTATAGATGAGTAAAGCAGAGCTCATTCTTTCAAAATAATTTAGTAGAGCAAGCACAGATACGAAGTGTTATTATTCTATAATAAGTACAAAAATTTAATATTGTTTAGCCACTGTATGATTGCCTTCAGCAAGTATCCATTTCGGAGGATATTCAACTTCTTTAACTACTATTAATTGTTTTCTTATATATGATCTTTCAGACTAATGCCATTTTCATCTGTAAGCCAATATAACACTGGCTAATTTTTTATATTAGGGTCTTTTTAATATAGAAAACTTTAGGAGACCAATTCATATCAATAATACGTCTATTGCCAAATTCTAATTTACCAGGTTCAAGAAGATATCTACTGAATTATAATAAGTTAACCAAGGTTCGTCATATCCAATGAGTCTTCTATGCTTTATAGCTGGTTTCACGAATATTTTCCTCCCCTTTAAAGCTTTTTTTACTGCTTTATTAGAAGATATACTGTACCTATCAATCTGGTTGGAGTATTATTAAAAGTATCATTATTGATACGAAGACTTTTAATCTATGCTCTAGACCTATCAGACAAAGGTAAATAAAAATCTATAGCATCTTGACGAATAAAAGCATGTTTTTCAAATTCTTGATGATCACGCTTAGCTATAGCATTACTTTCTTTAGATTTTTTAGAATCAAAATATATATTATGTTTTAATAATAAATCTTTATACTCAGCTAAATACTTAATACCTTTATCAGTTCTAAAAATACTAGACCAAGAAAGAGGATTGTTAGGATCATTATAAATTTTTTTAATTGCTTTTGCAACAGTAGAAGCAGATTTATTAGTTAATACATAGCTTTTTTGATATCTAGTAGCAACATCTTTTATTACAAGTTTATATTTAAAAATTTTATTTCTGATTTTATCATGAGGCATAGAAGTAAGATCAGATTGATGTATTTCATTTAAATTTTAAATTTCATTAAAAGATGCATACTGAATAAAATGTGGTCATAGTTTATGAATTTGATATAATACTTGCTTATTTAGCCAATTTTATATATTGTTTAATGAAAAATTATAACCAGCTTTTTTACATGCATCTCGCATTTTTTTAGCAATACGATAATAACCTTCAGGCTTATAATATACTTTTTGCAAAGCAATTTTCTTATCCAAATCATAGACTTTTTGTAGATCAATATAAATCAAAGATTTTCTATTATACTATAGCAAATAAAAATGGAAGAATTGCAACAAACTAACCAAGAACTTTATGAGGTAGTATCACAATTAGTGGAATCAAATAAAAATTTAAACAATGTCTATATACCTTAGAAAGAGTTATCGGTATATATAAAGAAAGGATACGATATCTTGAAGAAGAGTTAAATAATACTATTGAGCTTTCTAGACAAGACAAAGAAGAATTATTAGAAGAAATCTCAAAACTCAAAAGAATCATTCATCAGCTTGAAGAAGAAAATAAAAAGAAAGATAAAAAAATTTCTAATAAAGATGATTCGATGAATGTGAGCCAAAATTAAAAAACCAAATATAAGAAATATCAAAATCTGCAAGCAATATCCCTAAGGCACAAGATTATACAACAAAATTAGTAGATAAAAATAAGCGATTTAAATGAGAAATAAATACAATAAGGATTAATCAAATAAATAGAATTAACAAAATAACTTAGCAAAAAAGTCGTATTACTAACCTTCTTTGTCAGAATTTTGCTTTAGCATTATTAAGATATCGAGATAGATTAGAACTTACAAATACACGAGAGGCTTTACAAAACATACAGATATAGAATTTTAATAAAAATAAATCTGATTCTGATAAAAATTCTCCAGACTTATATAATTCTGATGATAATATGGGTACAATAGCTGAGTTAGCTGATGCTATAGACTAATCTCTAAATAATACAATAATATGTAGAACTGTTTTAACAAATCAAATTAAAAGATCAACAAGATCAATCTGACATAAATACACTAACCTACAACAAGATCTGGTAAATATACGATGAGACCGAGATATGTATAGGCAGGAACAAAATCAGGTATTGTTTGATCTTTAGCAGTTGTGAACTAATGCTCAAAATCAAGTAAACAGAATATTAGACAATATAACAGAAAAGTGAACCTGTATTGGTATATTACTATAGGAAAAATTTGCTTTACAACTACTGTATTAGCAAAAGGTTCACCATCTACAGCAATGCAGGAGGGATAGAGGTTTGCTAGAATATAATCAAGATAGATTATATAAACAATATGAGAAGTGGAAAAATAAGACCTATACAGAGCACCAGAATATTTTAAATTTAAATTAACAAATTTTGGCATTTCATAATAATCCACCAAATCAAATAAACATAGCTGATACTAGATGTTTACTGGTATTAAAATTAATAGCTCCTGCTCTTGCAAAATTTCTACCTTATACAGACCAAGAACTACCTGATAATTACTTGAATAAAGTTATTCAATCATGAGCATATCTTGAAGGGCATATAACGGCTCTTGAGAATGCAAATGCAGGAGATTTTAACAATATAGTCAAGTGTAATATTTTAAAATCTATGATGGGTGGAAAATATGTTCCAATACTAGCAAATAATAATCTTGTAGTAGGAAATCTAGCTATAAATTCTTCAGATATATTACAGGCTTGGATGAGAGCAAAATATCAACGAGAAACTGTTGAAAATCAACAATTAGCTATTCAAAGATTGACTCAAGAAAAATATCAGCTTTATAATATTTTTGATATCTATGAAGCCAGAATTCAACTACTATTATTAGGAGTAGCAGACAATGATGCATAAGTTTTGGAATTTCTTAAAGATCATTTAATAGGTGATTTTATACTTGAATAAGAATTGTTAATCTTGCAGGCATTAATATATTTTTCACTGAACTAAAAAATATGTGGCTAGAGTGTAGGCAAAATTTGAGTAGAAGAATCCCAGAGAAATCAAGTCAAATTGCCAATCAAGTGCAAGCCTTAATTAGTATAAATCTAGTATCCTATTCTTTACCACTAGTTACCATAGCTCCTCAACAGCAAGGGTATACAATTTCTTTAGAAGATATGCAAAAAGCAATTCAAAACACATTGGCAAGCAAAAAACTAAATACCAATTTTTATTAAAAAAACAAAAAACTAATTTTCAATCACAAATAGCTAAGCAAACGCAAGTACCTGCATCTCAAACTGTTAAACTAGTTAGACAGCCAAGAGATTCACCACTTTCATTACAAACAGAGAAGATATAGAAAATTATAACTTAATACAACATTTATATAATTTAGGTATATTTAGTACAGAAGATTTTGACAGAAATTATTCTATAAAGCCTTTTCAAAAACTTTATTTGGAATGATTATATTTATCAAATCAGAATGCTAGAATAGATAGAATAGAATCAAAAGTAGATAAAATCGGTCAAATGATATCTCAATTTGAGAAGATGATACTTGATAATCAATCCAAAAAACCTGTAGCTAAATCAAATTCAACACATCGATACTTTCCTCTTCTAATATCTTCCCAATCTCAATATATATCTCTTGATTTAAATGATGATGAGGATGATAAAAATGGATATAATAAGGAAGAGAATAGATGGCATGCCTCATCTCAGTCAGAAAAAAAAAACAGATATTATTAGTAGGCTCAAAGAGCTATTGCTCTGCAATAGATAATAATTCATATAATAATATGCTACCCAAAACTTATGATCAACTAATAGATTCATTATTACTAGCAATGCAAAAAATATGTAGACCTAAAGGGATATTGCTCTGCAATAAATATAATCACTCTCATAAATCCCAGAAAGAGACTAATGAGTGGTTCTTATCAATACAATATCTGCATAGCAATATAAATAATTTAACAATCTCTAATAGTTTTTTAGATCCAGGTAGCAAGTTCGATGCTGTTAATGATGCAACTATCAAAGCACTTGAGTGAAAAAAATGACAAACAATCTGATTTTGCTATAAAGAGTGACAATTCCAAACATATTACTAAATTATTGGGATAGATTATAGATATTCCAGTTTCTATAAAGAATAAGGCAGAAAAAACAGTTACAGTTTCAGAGAATTTTGCATGTATTGATAATGGTGAACCAGAACCAATGCTATGTCTAGGTATGACATAGATTTGAAAAGTTCAAGGTATTCTTGACCCAAATAAAAACTAATTCTGAATGAAGTTATATGGTAAGTTTACATTATCCCAACTTTTAGCAAGGCTTCAGAAGTATTGGATCTACCAAAAGATATAGAGACCTTAGAAGTATTAGATTCTGATTTATCAAGTGAAGAGGTAAAAAAAATGCATAAATTATGAAAGTATGACTATTCATATAAAGGAACTTAAAAAGGCACTATTTACTAGTGTCCAAACTAATTCAGAATTTATTAGATATTATAATAATTTGTATAATCAATATAAAGCAAAAATTAGTCATATTAATTCTAAGCTTTTGAAATAAAAGCAGATAGTTTAGAAATATCAGCACGTACAACAGCTCTTATCTTTTTAGCCTCCTTTTGTATTCTCCTATAGAATTCTAAAATATCTTCAGTTTTTTGTGAAGCTTCAGATAGTATAGTTTCTTTTTTTGTTTCTAATATTTTGTCTATATTTTCAGTTAAATCTTTACTAACAGAGTGTTGATCAAAAATACATGCAAACTTAAACTTAGATTTTCTCTTTTTTGTCTCTTCCACAACTATAGGTATAAAAATATCACTTTTTGAATCAGCTAAATATAAATTCTAAACATTTGTGCAAACCTCTTTTACTTTCCATATCTGATAAAAACAGGTATTGGACATAGGATATTTATCTCTAAGTATCTTTAAAGATTTAGATTTTGTATCTTTGTATTGCATACTATATTTATAGCATCTGATGATAGTTTGACTATATTAGATCGCATGGTTTTGTTAATAGTATCAGTAATATTAATAAAAAAAAATACTGTTAATAATATTATTGATATTATTAATAATATCCATAATGCTATTATTGATAATACCAGTATTATTGATAATATCAGTAATATTGATAATATCTATAATGCTATTATTAATAATACTAGTAATATTGATAATATTGATAATATCTGTAATATCTATAATATGTTATTATTAATAATATCTGTAATATATTATTTTTATTAAATATAGCTAAACTGAAAAATACATAGCTAATATATATATATTGCAAGATATTAACTCAAAAAGATATCGTCTCGGAAGTATTAGGGAAGTGAAACTTGAAGAAGCTTTATGTGATAGTTGTAAGTCCAATTCTGAACTTATTAATAATTTTAAAAACTATCAGAAAGTATATAAAAAGTATATTAAAAAATATCAAACAGGATAAGGTGCATTTGTAACATGATATAAATCAAACTAGAAAAGATAAAGAGAAACTCTCCAAGCATGCTTTTCAGCTTATAGATGATGTTAAACGATTATGCTCAGAGTTAGATAATCTAATATCTCAGATTACTCGCAAAGATATATTTCTTGCAGAATTCAAGACTAAGTATGCTACAAAATTAAAAGAGATTAAATCACTTCATAATGAGATAAAATTATTAAAAAGTAAGTTAAGATTATCCCAGAAAGATTTATTAAAAAAAAGGGTTTGAAATTGAGTCTCACAAGTCTAAGATAGTTGAATTAGCTCTGAAAATTAGTAAATTAGAGTATCTGAAATCAGAGAATATATCAAAATCTTTAATTGGAGAAAATGGCAAAAAAAATACACAGAGTGAAAAACAAAGTTCTATAACCAAATCTGATAACATATCTGCAATTAATAAACTTAACAAAAATCTCAGTCAATATTTTGTATATAAACTCAAAGAGCTATTGCTTCACAATAGAAAAAGTGTGGATCAAGCTAAAAAAATTGATACTATTATACAGGATCACTTTGATAAAAAAATATTTCTATATCTGAGAAATTAGTAATTCAAGACTATATCTCATCTTAAGAGTAGATACTAAAATTATTTCTAAGAAAAGTGATAAAATATCGAAGATGACTTTATACTATATATAGCTGAAAAATCATGCTCCCTCTTTGATTGAATCAAATTCCCAGATGAGATATAGTCTCGAGGCTTTGCCTCTTCTGATAGATAGGGTAGAAGCAATTCCTATTGTGGCAAATACTTTAATGTTACCACTATCAGCATATATCTTTCTTATCTTGTTAATTATTGTAGTTATATAGTTCATAATATTAAGATGTATATGGGGGTTGGATAAATATTTGCCACAAATTATTAAAAAATATATATAAAAATAAATATACAAAAAAACTCAAAAACAAGATTACCTCCAATGAAACTTTACCTTATGAATATAGGTGAGGCCACAAAGTATGCTTTATCATGCTATATTGGATATCTAGCAATGTTATGGTCATTTGCTAAGCTAGTTACAGAAAAAAGTGGTACAGGTAAGACTAATATACTCAGAAATCTTGTTCTTGGTAACAAAGCTGAATATATATATAAAAAGAAAAAGAGTGAATCTAGATATATATGGTGTGATAATTTGATAGTTTGTAGATACCATCCTGATGAACCAAAATAGGTTTTTGTTAGGTATATATATGGAATAATTGCAAGTAATCCAAGAGCATCATATTATGAAAATATTAGGTTTAGTTATATCTTACCTGAAAAAATTCCTAATATAAAATCTTTCTTTCCCAAAAGAAGTACTATTATTATCTTTAAAGATTTATATGTTGCCCTGAGTTTATACAAAATCGAATTATCCTATTTTTT